CTAGGGGCCTCCCAGGGACCCGTTCCCCAGCCCCTTGGCAACGCTTACCCCCACTTAAGGGCAAATAGAAGGCAGTGCCAATCAGACCTCCAGCAGGCACGAAGAGACCTTCTTTTATGTCAATTGGGTGGAAAGAAAGAGTTAACTGTCAGCTTTGGTAAGATGGCATTTAAACACATACCTATATAAGAATATTAATTTTTACATAACTTTAAAACTTTTCACAATCATTATTTGAAAATTTAAAGAGATGAGTCAGAAGATGGTTGAGCTAGAAGCTCTTTTGTTTTTTGGAGGGAGGTAATTAGGTTTCTTTATGTATTTTTAAATTAATATTTTATTTTTATTTTTTTACTGGAGGTACTGGGGATTGAACCCAGGACCTTGCGAATGCTAAGCACGTGCTCTACTGCTAAGCTATATATATACCCTCACCCGAAGTTCCTTTGTTTTAATATCACACATGCAAAAGCTAATTTAAACCCTGCAGAGAACAAGCTCATTGTAAGCTGACTGATTTGTAAGCTAAGATGTTCAGAATTTCAGCGGAAGGCAGAAAATCAAAAGGAAAAGCACCTTAAGAAGAATAAAGGTCAAAATTCAACCCGAAAAACTAGTAATTTCCAGTATGCCCATGGGCATTCTTTTTTCATACTGGTAACACCAAAGTGACTTGTGTTGTCACAAAATTGGAACGTGGACCTTAACCGTGGAGGGACGTGTCTCTGTGCAAAGACGAGGTGAGGGCGCTGCGTTTAGGGAGGCCGTTAGGAAAAGCACGTGGCCCGCAGGTGGGGCTTCTTCAAGAACCTAGTGGGGGAAACACGTTCTGTAACAGCAGAACAAAACAGACGAGGCCAAGGTTTGGGGCTTTTTCTAGCTATACTTGTAACTACAATTTATTTTGGGTGACACCTGAAATGAAGTTACTGCACGCATACCTTGTCAGAGCGCATCCAAACGCATCAGAAGACGGTTAAACTAGAAAAAAGAAGTCTATTTGCCAGTTTCAATACATCGGGCAGAAAAAGAAGTACAATGTCTGCTTCAGAAAAGTGATGGCTATTAAAAAACCAAGGAGGGAAAGCCTTAACATTCAATGAGAACGTCACGGCCAATTAAGACTCGGGGGTTTAGACAAGCACAGAGAGGCCCAGCCGCCCGCAGGTGTGGACGGGGATGGGGGGGCCCGTTCCTCTTCGGAGCCACTCACCTGCTGTCTGTCTCCTGCTGGACCCTGACCACAGCGTCCGGCAGCATCACCAACCGCATCTTTGTTTCCACAAGTGACACAGCCCTCTGAAAAGGAACAAGCTCAGGCAGGTTATTTAAGGTAAAGCCATCTGAAAAGATCTGAGCTCAGTAAAACGCTGGCCAAGTAACCAACTGCCCCGTTCATTCACGTCTGAGAATACCCGCCGACAGTCCGCTCCCGATGACCGGAAGGTAAGCGACGGCACCTGTTCAAACACCTTTGCGTGTGCTGTTCGGGGCTCCTGCTTCACGTGCTCTTCCCACAGAACCCCTGCTCAGCACGAATCCCACCTCTGGTGTGAACTTTACACACTGAGTTTTGACACTTTTCAAGCGTGCGTGTGTATTTACAATGCAACCCTTATACCTCTCCTCCCAGCCAATCATACATCAAAGCAGATCTCTCTACTCCTAAACTGCCCCATAATATTCCAACTGGTAGAAGAAAAAAAAAACATTTAGCATCAAAAAGTCCTGTATTCAGGTCCGATCTGATGAACTGTGCAAACTTACACAGCTGTCCCTCAGTGTCGGCAGGGGGATAGGTTCCAGAATCCCGAGGACACCCAAATCTATGGGTGCTCAAGTCCCTCATGTAAAAAGACCTGGTACAGTCACCCTTCCGTAGCTGGGGGCCGTGCAGCCTTAGAGCCAATCAACCACAGGCTGACATCTGATCCGCGGTATGGAGGGCTGACCGCACAAAGTATTCAGTATCTGCGTGCCTTCCTTTGTCATGTGTCGGCGAGGCAGGGATAGTAACACCTACCCCGGAAGCAGCTGTGAGGGTGAAACTTCAGTGGGATCGTGCAAAGCACAGTTGGTCCTCGGTGTCTGCAGGTTCCACCTCCACAGAGTCAACCAACCACAGATCAAAAGTATTTGGGGAAGAACCATTCCAGAAAGTTCTAAAATGCAAAACTGAGTTTGCCATGCACCAGCAACTACTGACATAGCATGGACGCTGAAATGACAACTATTTAAACGGCATTTACACTGGAGATGATTTAAGGTGCACGGGCAGGGGTGCACAGGTAATATGCAAATACTACTCCATTTCACGCAAGGGACTTGAGCATCCGTGATTCTGGCATCCGCGAGGCGTCCTGGAACTAACCCCCCGCAGAGGGACGACTGTATACTAAGCACCTAGAACACTACGTGGCACCAAAAACATCGATCCATGACAGCACAGTAAGCACTGTGCGTACTCGGACGTCTACTTCTTCAGGGACAGTCTGGCTCTGAATCCAAGAAGGCACGTTGGCCAGCGCCTCCCTTTGTGCCTGAGAAAACTGTGGCTGCCGCCACCTCGTGCTTTCAAGCTTTGCGAGGTCTTCTTTCAGTACAATTTGTTTATCCCTGAAAACAAACAAAGACCTTACCAGCCCGAATAAGGCACAGGGTTCTTACCATGTCTACTAAGAACAGCACTTCTCTTGGGTTTGTAATACACTTTATGGCTCTTGCTAATATAGGACATACACATTAAACAAAACCAACTCATTTCTTTGTTAAGTTGGTAAAGCTACGCCTCCTTTTCCTGATGGGACATATCTGGATAGAGTTTTAATGAGGCATATGGAAAAAGCAGATTTCCTTTAATTCTTTTATTCTTTTAGAATGAGACAAAAAAAAAGTCCAGACTCTAGAACATCTTGTCCCTGTGGGCCGTCTTGGAAAGCACGGCCTGTCTTTGTTCCCTTGTTTCGTGACACATGACGTATCTGTGTAGTTACTACCACCACAACCATTGTTTTAAGAAACTCGTGACTTCAAATGAATGAATCTGAAAATACATTTCTCTAAGGATATGTATAAAGATATTAAAAAATCACTTTGTATTTAAAAGTACACGTAAGAAACCATAAGAACGCACATAGAAGTGGGTCTCCCCAGTGCCGTCTCACCTCTCAGGCACCCGATACGTCATGAGAACGCGCTCGGCCGTCTGCTCTGTCATCTTCCAGATGGACTCTCCAGCTGAGCTGGGAAATGCTTCTTTTTTTCCACACATCCTGAGACTGCTGCCCATTTTGGGGGATTTCAGAAGAATGATCACTGCTAGCAAAGTATATGGCTAAACTGGCCCTCGTTCTTCAGAGGCTTTGGCAATGAGCCGAGTCTCCTTCACCGCCCAGCCCAGCCGTCACCCCAGGTACCCGCATCCCAGGTCCTTCACCTTCCCCAAATCTCCTTCTCAATCCCCCTGAGCTACCTGCCCCTCAAGGCCACACCTCGTGGCCACCCAGAACTGCTCCATCTCAGCTCCATCTCCAAGACCACCAACATCTCAGCCTCCCTTTCTTGTCTGTTTGTTCAACTGCTCCAACTGCAAGTCAGGAACAGAGCCTCAGCAGCTCTGCTCAGGGCCCACTCTGCACCACCCGAGACTTCTTTTTCCCTCTAATTAATTGTTCAATTGTCAAAATGTCAACTCAGACAAAGCCACTTAGCAACTCCATTCTTATCTAAACCCAAGTAGCCAAAGTCAGAGAGAGAGGCAGATATAACAGGATCCATTGGTTCTATGGTAAATTCACCATCACCAAAGGATGTCTGTCTAACCATTTCTATTCAATACTGCATTGGGGGTCCTAGCCAGTCCAACAAGGCAAGACAAATAAAGGGAGGAAGGAAGAAGTAAAACTATATTCACAGCCAACAAGACTGTCTATGTAGAAAGTCCTAGAGTCTATGAAAGAGTTACTAAAACTAATAAATGAGCTTAGCAAGATTTCAGAATACAAGTTCAAATTACAAAATCAGATTGGCTTTCTGCATGCTAATAACACACCACTGGAAACAAATTTTAAAAGGCCGTTTACAACAGCATCAAAAATATGAAACCCTTAGTGATAAATTTAGCAAAGTAAGTATAAGATCTGTACACTGAAAGCGACAAAACATTGCTGAAAAAAATTAAGACCTCCATATACAGAGAAACATACTACACGCCTGCATCAGAAGACGGTACTGTTAGGATAATATTTCTTCCCAACTTGGACTATAGATTCAACATGATGTCAATCAAAGTCCCAGCAGGCTTTTTTTGTAGAAATTGAAAAACTGATTCTACAATTTACTTATTTTTAAATCTTTTTTTTATTGAGCTAACACTGGTTTATAACATGTATAAGTTTCATGTGTACATTGTATTTCCACTTCTGTATACAATACAGCACTCTCACCACCAAAAATTTAGTTTCTGTTACCATACACTTGAGCTCCTTTATGCATTTAGCACCACTGCCCTTCCCTCTGGTAGCCGCTACTCTATTCTCTGATTATCTTCAGAGTGTTTTGGTTTTATTTTCATGTTTTTATCTCTTTGTTTTTTATGCTCCACATATGGATGAAATCATACATTATTTGTCTTTCTCCATCTGCCTTATTTCACCTAGGATAATACCGTCAAGGTCCATCCACCTTGTTGCAAATGGCAAGACTTCGTCTTTTTCATGGCTGAGTATGTATTCCAATGCGTGCACGCAGACACGTGTTTACTATGTACACATCCTCTGCATCCATCCACCTGCTGATGGGCACTTAGGTTGTGTCCGTATCTTGCTCACTATAAATAATGCTGTGATGAACAGAGGGACGTATGTATCTTTCTGAATTAATGTTTTCATTTTCTTTGGATAAACACTCAGAAGTGAAATAGCTGGACCATACGGCAGTTCTACTAATTTTTTGAGGAATCTCCACATTTTCCACAGTGGCAACACCAATTTACATTCCCACCAACGGCATATGAAGGTCTTCTTTTCTCCACATTCTTGTGAATATTTGCTATTTCTTGCCTTTTTGATAACAGCCATTCTAACAGGTATGAAGCGATAATCTCATGGTGGTTTTGATTTGCAGTTCCCATTAATTAGTGATGTTAAATATTTTTTCATGTGTTTGTTGGCCAACCATATACCTTCTTTGAAAAATGGTCTATTCAGCTCCTCTGCCCACTTTTTTAATCATCTGAGGTATGTTCCTTCTATCCTCATTTAATAGAGTTTTTACCATAAAAAGATGTTGAATCTTGTCAAACACTTTATCTGCATCTATTGAGATGATCATATGATCTTTCCCCTTCATTCTGTTAACATTGTTTCACATAGATTTGTGGATTGTTTCACACTGATTGATCTGTGGATGTTGAGCCATCCTTGTATCACTGCAATAAACCCCACTTGATCATGATGTATGATCCTTTAAAGGTATTTGTTATTATTTTTTGAGAATTTTTGCACTTATGTTCACCAGAGATATTGGCCAGTCATTTTTTTTCTTTCTTTTTTTGTTAACCTTGTCTGATTTTCGCATCAGGGTAATGATGGCCTTGTAAAATGAGTTGGAAAGTGTTTCCCCCATTCAGGTTTTTGGAAGAGTTTGAAAAGTATAGGTATTAAACCTTCTTCGAATGTTTGGAAGAATTCACCTGTGAAGCTGTGTGTCCTGGACTTTCGTTCTGGGGAAGGTTTTGATTACTGCTTCATTCTCTCTACTAGTGACTGGTCTAATCAGATTTTCTATTTCTTCATGATTCAGTCTTAGTAGGCTGTGTATGATTCTAAGAATCTGTCCACTTCTTCTAGGTTGTCCAGGTAGCTGGCATATGGCTGTTCATAATATTCTAATTCTTTGTGTTTCTGTGGTATCATGTTATTTCCCCTATTTTGTTCCTGGTTTTATTTATCAGAGCTCTGTCTCCTTCTTACTCAATGAGTCTCGCTGAAGGTCTGTCAATTTTGTTCAACTTTTCTAAGAACCAGCTCTTAGTTTCATTGATGTTATCTACTGTCTTATTAGCCTCTATTTCCTTTACTCCCACTCTGATCTCTCTTACATCCTCCTTTCAACTGACTTTGGGATTCTTTTGTTCTTCCTTTCCTAGCTCCTGCAGGTGTAAAATTAGACTCACATTTTTCTTGTTTCTTGAGGTAGGCCTTGACTGCTACAATCGTTCCCCTTATTGTTTTTCTGCATCCCATAGATTCTGATGTCATATTTTCATTTTCATTTGTCTTCAGGTATTTTTTAATTTTTCCGATTTCTTCATTGACTCAGTATTTATTCAGTAGCATGTTGTTCAGTCTCCACATATTTGTGAGTTTTCCATAGTTGGTTTTCTTCCCATAGTTGATTTCTAGTTTCGCATCACTGTGATCAGAAAAAAATGCATGATATGATTTCCGTTTTCTTAAATGCACTGAGGCTTGTTTTGTGCCCCAACATGTGATCTATTCCTGAGAAAGTTCTATATGAACTTGAGAATGTCTATTCTGCTGCATCTGAATAGACTGTTGTGTACAAATCTATCAATCCATCTGGTCTAACATTTCATTTAAGGCCACTGTTTCCTTGCTGACTGTCTGGATGATCTATTCACTGATGTAAGTGAAGTTTTAAAGTCCCCTACTATCATTGTGTTGCCACAAATTTCTCTTCTTAGGTCTGTTAATAATTGCTTTATGTATTTTAGTTCTCCTCTGCTAGGTGAATACATATTAATAACTATTATGTCTCCCTAATGTCTTGTCCCCCTTTATCATTATATAATGTCCATTTTTGTCTCTTGTTACCTTATTTGGCTTGAAGTCCATTTTGTCTGATACAAGCATGGCTATACCACTCTTTCTGGTTACCACTTGCTTAGAGCATCATCTTCAGTCCTTTCTCTGAGTCTACGTCTATTGAGCTGAGCTGAGTCTCCTGGAGGCAGCATGGAGCTGGGTCTTATTTTGTAATCCAGCCAGCCACTCTGCGTCTTCTGCCAATCAGTGAATTCATTTATACTTAGGGTGATCATTGGCAAATGAGGACTTAATACTGCCTTTTTGTCTTTTGTTTTCTGGTTGCTCTATTTCTCCACTGTTTCTTTTTCCTTGTGTTTCTGTCTGCCATTTTGGTTTGGTGGTTTTCTATGATGTTTTCTCAAGTTTCCTCTTTTTTTTTTTTTTTTTTTTTGTATTTCATGTCTCTGCTCTAGATTAATGTTTGGTGGTTCCCATGAGTTTATATAAAGTATCTCATAGATAAAATCGTTCTTTTATGATGATAGCATCTTATCTTCACTTACCTATGCAAGTTCTGTTCTCTTCCTCTCCCCCCACCTTTTGTTTTGTCTCAAATTATCTCAGTTTATGTTGTGAGTTTGCTACTGAATTGAAGTAGCTATTGTTAATCTACTGCTTTCCTTCCCTTCAATGTCTATGCTGTAATAATGTGTTTACAAACCTATTCTGATTGAGTTGTGATTCTCTGATTCTGTCTGTCACAACCAATTCAAAGTTTTGTGTACTTCTGCCTTTTTGTTTCTGGTAGAAGAGCTCCTTCCAACATTTCTTGTTAAGACAGGTCTAGTGTTGATGAACTCCCTCAGCTTTTGTTTGTCCAAGAAAGCCTTTATTTCTCCTTCATTTCTCAATGATAATTTTACTGGATAGAGTATTTCTGGCTGACAGTTTTTATCTTTGAGTATTTTGAGAATGTCATCCCACTCTTTCCTTGTCTGTAGAGTTCCTGCTGAGGCATCTATGGGTAGCATAATGAGGATTTCTTTGTAGGTTACCATCCTTTTTCCCCTGGCTGTTGTTAAAATTCTTTGTCATTTACTCTTGACAGATTTAATATAGTGTGACTTGGAGAAGGCCTTTTTGCCTTAAGGTAATTAAGTGTTCTCTTAGTTTCATGAACTTGTATATCCAAATCCTTTGAGAACTTCTTAGCTATTATTTCTTTATATTCTCTCTTTACCTTTAATCTTTGCCACTTTAACTGCAATGTGCCTTGGCGTGGTCCTCTTTGGATTGATCCTGTTTGGGACTCTGTTTTTCCTGGACTTGGATATGTTTCCTTTCCCAGGTTAGGGGTATTTTCAGCTGTTATATCTTCAAATATGTTCTCTGCCCCTTTCTCTCTCCCTTCATTTTCTGGGACCCCTATAATGCAAACGTTAGTATGCTTGATATTGTCCCAGCTGTCTCAAACTGTCTTCACATCTTTTACTCCTTTTTCTGTTCTTCTCCAGTGATTTTTAGACTCCATCTTCCAGCTCACTGGCCCATTCCTCTGTATCACTGAGTCCACTGCTGACTCCTCGTGCATATTTCATTCCAGTTATTGTATGCCTCGTCTGTTTGGTTGAACTTTATATTTTCTAACTCTTTTAAAAATATTTTAACCTCTATCCCTGTTCATCCAATATTCTCCCAAGTTCTTTGATCATCTTTATGATCATTACCTTGAACTCTTTCTTGGGTAGATTGCCTACCTCCACGTCATTCAGTTCTTCTGGGGTTTAATCTTGTTCCTTCATTGGGAACATCTTCCTCTATCCCCTAATTTTGCCTAACTTGCTGTTTTTATTTCTATGTACCTGGTAGGTTGGTGACATTTCCTAACCCTGGAGAAGTGGCTGCCTTTGCAAGAGCACGCTCCCTTCTGGTCACTAAGGCTGCATGCTCCGGGGGCGCCCCACGTGGGCTGTGGGGTCCCCCTGCTGCGGCAGACTGACCACGTGGGAGGTCTGATAGGCCTGGCAGGACCCCTAGTCTGGCTGGTTGTCAGGCCTGCCTTTTGTGGAGGCTGCAGGCTGCCGCGTGGCAGGGTGCATCACAAGGTGGCTGGCTGCAGAACCTGGGGGCCCAGGGGTCAGGGCTGGCCCACTGCTGGGTGGCTCTTCTCCCATTTGTGGGTCACCCACCCGGGGGTACGGGTGGTGGCTACACTGTGGACTCTGCCCCTCCTACTGGTCTCATGATTCCTTCTTTGTTGTCTTTGGTTGTAGAAGATCTTTTGTGGTCGTTTCTGGCCTTTTTCACCAATAGACATTCTGTCTGTAAACAGCTGTAATTCTGGTGTGCCCGTGAAAGGAGGTGAGTTCACACCATATATAAAAATTAACTAAAAGTGGATCACGGACTTAGCTAGAAAAGCTTAACCTCTAAAATTTCTAAGAGAAAATGGGAGACCATCTTAGCGACTTCTAGTTAGGCAATTATTTCTTTGAAAAGTACAACCTATAAAAGAAAAAAATTGATAAACTGAACTTCATCAAAATGTAAAAACATTTGCTCCTCAAAATGCTGGGTGATTAATTTCTATGAAATTATAGACAGAGCAGCAGTAAAGTGACAGCCAACAGCTCAGCGCCTGCCGGGAGTGAGGACCGGGGCGAAGACTGACGGCAAAGGGTCACAGAAGAGCGCTTCTGGGTGACAGAAATGTTCTACGTGGTGGCTGTGGTGGCAGTTATGCTGATGTATACGTTTGTCAGAATTCTTGTTTTTACACCTAAATTTGGTGAATTTATTGTATGCAAACATACCCGAATAGAGCTTACAAGAAGGAAGAAACACTTTACTTCCACACCAGTGCCCAAGCCAGACAGCCCGCTGTGCCCGATCTCCTGACAACAGGGTTTGAAGGCTCTGTCATTTCGAGCCACTAACTGTTGGTGCAGAACCAGTCCCAGGTGGAGACGCCCAGTGAGGTGACACTGTGGTCAGTTCGCTGGCAATAAAATGATTGTTCTTATTCCCACTGTTGCCTCGAACACACGGCGAGGAAGTCAGGACCCGAGACAAGAGTTGAACATCTCAAGCATCATGTTACAAAATCACTGGCAGCTCTTCAAATCCACACATTAAATAGGGGGGAAAAAAAAAGCACGTATATAACTAAGAAGGAAAACATCTTCAAGTGAGAGGGGATGGCTCAAGCGGCAGAGCGCACACTTAGCATGCAGGGGTCCTGGGTTCAAGCCCCCGTACGTCCTCCGGAAATAGACCTAATTACCTTCCAACCCTCGCCAAAAAAATAAACAGAAATGAAATAAAAACATTTTTAGCCTGTCCCCAACAAGCGGTCAAAGCTCCTTTGTCCATAACATTGAAGACACTACTGCTTTTCGAACACCCACTACCTTCCAAGAATCAGCGGTACCTGCCTTATCATTACTTTCTGTCACTCAAAATACATATATGGAACATTCCCAGCACTGTTCAATACGCTAGTAACATAATACTGAACAAAACAACATCCCAGCTGCCCGGAGATAACCCTGCATGGGGAGGACTGTGTAAATACTGCGTAAATTAATCCGCAGAGAAAGCTACGAGGTATTAACCTTTTCATTCTTCAAATAAGGACACAAAGGCAAAGTAGGCATGTAACTCGTCTACACTAACCCACCTAACAGGGCACAGAGCCGGGCCTGGAAGCCAGGCCTGATTCCATGGCCCAGGCTTCGTATTAGGTTTTGAGCAAGCGTACTAACATCAAGCTTTCAAAACTGAGCATATTTTCTTGATCTGGGTCATCACACTTTGAACACTGGTTAAAAATGGGTATTATACTTTGAAGGGAAGACTGAAGAGAAACTCTGTAAATATTCACCCATGTCTTGGATCCTGTACCTAAATATGGGAAAGTTTTATCCCAAAGTTTAACCTGACAAACAAATCTGAGAATGCCTTTCAAGGTAAAGACACGGAAAGTTAAAGGAAAGTGATCAAACATTTTTCATTTTAAAAAATGACACGTGTAAGTGCAAATCTACACACCGCCTACTTTACTGGTTAGTAATGACAGAGAGCGACTCCTACCCCGTGCATACGTCTCTGCTGTCCTGCCACTGCGCCCGAAAAAGTAAAACTGCCAGATTCATGTCCTGTCAGTATGGCTTGTTCCTGACCAACTAGACCATGACCCCAGCTGTAAGTAAGAGAATGCATTTCACAGGCAAGTTTCATACCTGGATATCACATTTCAAAGCAGTGGGGAGACCCCGTTCACGCTTTGGGAAAACGTTACAAAGTATCTAAGAACTCGGGACATAGCAGATTCTTTCACTCCAGCTTTTTAAGTGGAGTCAAGAGGATATGGTGCATGTTTCTGGAGAACAAAGTCTCAACTCAGCCGTAATGCAGATTGCCCACCGAGGCCATCAGTGCTGAGCCCCAGTGCAAAAACCGTAATTTTAACAAAAAGATGCCTATTTATTTTCCCACCTGTATGTTGAAAGTCAGCATCACTTACATACTCGGCTTCTGGGCAGAGACCCCTTCTCATCTGCTCCGAGGAGTCACAGCACAGGGCACGTCTTCCGGCCTCAAGCTTAGCAGCAGTGGAGAGCTGCTCCTTGAGTTAATGAACAGGTGGTCCTCACTCTGCGTCTCCCCCTTCACCTCTCCTTCCCTGTGGTTGGTGACTGAAGACGGTGGTTCCAGGGTGGGAGTCATCACTGATCCCGGGGGGGTGCTATTTCAGGAGAGGCTGTCACTCCCCAGAACAGACATGGGGAGAATGATGGTGACAAGAGAGGACAGATGATGGGGTCGTGCAGGAAAATGTTCACCAAAGTGTCTCCGTAAGCAGAAGGGAGGGCTGGGAAAGACTGCAAGCCACTGGACGCAGGCGGCTCAGGCGGACCCTGCAGAGCGGTGACTGAGGTGGCACCTTTCCCTCCCCAGAGGGGGGCACCGTCGGGAGGGGCTGGAACGAGACGCGGGGCCCGGCCCGGAGCGACAGGCCAGAGGCG